ATTACTCTCTGAACGCCTGAAGGAAATTCAAATGCAAACAGAAACACAAAGAGACACCCTTGGAAAAGGGTACAGCACTAAGTGAGTTTCCCATTTTTAATTTTGCCTGTAAAATCTCTTGCATGTGTACAACAGTAGACAGGAGCAAGAATGCCTATAGCAGCCAGTACACATGGTTAAAAACCAGAAACGGGAGAGTATAAGCAAATACATAATGGTATATTTACACCATTGACTATTCGCTAACAGCTAAGATGAATAAACTCAGTGACATGCAGTCATATTGAGTCCAAACAACATAATTAAATGAAAAATTTCATCAATACGGATTTTATACAAAAGTCTTAACTTATAAAACTGTTATAAGTTAAAAACAAATTAAAATTAAAATGTAGTTTTAAAGGATACATATAGATAAACAAAGCTGTATGGCTAATACAAAAATCAAGGAAACGGAAATGATTACATTGGGTTAGGAAGGCAAGAACCTAGTTTACTGAGAAGATCATTTTGTTTGATACAGGTTTATCGGCAGGTTTTCTTTTTCTTTTTTTTAATTTATTGTCTAAAGGTTTACATATGTCTCCTTTTTCCCCAATTGACTAACCCACCCCAGCCATTCCCACCCCAGGCAAATACCCCAGTGTCTGTGTCCATTGGTTATGCTAATATGCATACACACAAGTCCTTTGGTTGATCTCTAACCCCCCTCCCCTGCCATTTGTCTCTGGATCTATTCTTGTTCATCAAATTATATTCCACATATGAGTGAGATCATGTGATATTTATCTTTCTCTGATTGGCTTATTTTGCTTAGCATAATACTTTCCAGTTCCATCCATGCTGTTGCAAATGGAAAAAGTTCCTTCTTTTTTATAGAAGCACAGTATTCCATTGTGTAGATGTACCACAGTTCTTTTATCCACTCATCTGCTGATGGGCACTTAGGCTGTTTCCAAATCTTAGCTATTGCAAATTGTGCTGCTATGAATACAGGGGTGCATATATTCTTTCTGGTTGGTGTTTCTGGATTCTTGGGATATATTCCTAGAAGCGGGATCACAGGGTCAAATG